TACCCTCGTGACCAGCAAGAGTGGCAAGAGGCATATCTTTGTCATAGGCGATAGGTTTACTAAGTACACTAGACTAATTGCTATGCCTGAGACCACGAGGACAGATCATGTCATCAAGTTATTCATGGATAATTGGGTGCGTGATTTTGGATTGCCCAAGTCCATTGTTAGCGATAGAGATGTCTGTTTTACCAGCAAGATGTGGAAGAAGGTTGCAGAACGGATGGCCAGCCAACTCCAAATGACTTTTGGGAATCATCCCTAAGCCAATGGGTAAGCTAAACAAATGAACCGAGTGGTGCAGCATCTGCTGAGGCATTACATTAAGCCCAACCAGGATGATTGGGATGAGAAGTTACCTCTCATCGCCAACCTGTACAACAAGGTTGTGCACAACACCACCGGCGTCATTTCGAATAAGCTGCATTTGGGGTGGAAGCCTAGATGTTACATGTTGCGCCTGCAACAGGCTGCACGGGCCATTTCCAGGCCCGTGACGTTTTCAGGCCAAAAGCCTGAAAACAAGGGCCTACAAGCCCTATGTCATTTCAGCCTGAAAGCCTGAAAACAAGGGCCTACATGCCCTGTGTCGTTTTAGGCTAAATCAGGGCCTTTCCGGCCCTGAGTGTTTTCAGCCTGAAACTGAGGGCCATTTTCGGGCCCTCATCGGTTCGACCTGCCTTGAAACTCAGGCAACAAACCAGGGTTTCAGCACAGGCCATTTCGGGCCTGTTTTCAAGACAACCCCTGGTTGAGCTTCAACGCCAGGGTCTGGCACGTTTCGGCATTTGGCAAGAGCAGCCTCCTGGACGGGCCAACACTATATAGGACGGGCCCGCCCTGCAGGCAGGCAGGTAGTTCCTAGGTACTTCCCAGACACTTCACGTGCAGTTCAGGAGACAGGAGGTAGTCTTCAGGATTCGGCAGCAGCACTCTGGAGGAGCGCTGCAGTAGTAGTTGTAGCGCTAGCCGTAGTCTTCAGCGTTGGGCGCTAGTAGTGTTAGCAGTAGTCTTCAACGTTGGGCGCTAGTTGCGTTAGCAGTAGCCTTCAGCGTTGGGCGCCATAGGAGCTAGAGCAGTACTAGAGAGAGAGAGATTGGGCGGAGGCCAGGGAGACTTACCTCCAGCGCCGTTGCTCCAGCTTCGTCTTCGAGGTACCTGCAGCACAACGCCAACTTCACAGGTTAGTACCTGGCATATGAGAGAGAGTTCTTCTTCTTCCTCTTCTCAGTCCACCATCTCCATCTCACCCTCTCGCTACCTGACTTCACTGCATCAGCAGACTATGAGAGAGAGAGAGAGCTTGGTGACATTTGGATCCAGACTCGACATTGGACTTCAGACATTTTGACGAGGGATTATTTGGGACTTGAAACGAAAACTTGGTGTTGACGACTTTCCCATCTCCCCCCTCCTCTTCTTCGTTTGTGCATGATCTGGACCTGGCACCTTCTTCCTGTGTATAGTGCCAGGCTCCCTTCACACTTTGTGATGAAAATGATGTATGTTGGGTCTGCATTGCAACATTGATTGGGCTAGTCATTCTGCTACGCTATCTTGCACTACGTGATAGAGGTCAGTTTCGGTCGAATCAAGACTTGTATCTAAGTCTTCCCTGCGTTATAAAGCACCATGTTTGTATGTATCAGAATGTACATTGCTTGTAGAGATTCTACTTGCACTGCATTGTCCATTCAGTTCTTTTCATCACATTGCGGATCCTCGGGTTTTATATGTACATCGCCCAACTGGGCATGTAACACTAGATCTGCTCTATACTTCCTCCTGCCTGAAAACCGATCTGCTGCAACTCCTGGAACCACAGAATTTGGTGTCTAGTATGAGAAGTTGCTGCAGCAAGTTGTCGAGCACATTAAGAAATCTCAAGAAGCAACGATTGCTTCTGAGAACAACATCCACGACAGTCCACATTTTAGGTAGGGGAACGTGTCTGGGTTAAGTGTAGTGAGCTAGGACAGGAATTCGACATCTCTAGGAAACTAGTGCCTCGATACTTGGTCCTCGGGAAGTCTTGGATATCGTGGGTAGTGATCTGGATGCTCCCTCGTATGTCATTCGAATCCCTGGTCACTTGCGCACTTACCCTGTGTTTCACGCCTCAAAGCTTGCACATTTCGCTGAGACGCAGCAGTTCCTATCAAGGAAATCAATGTTGGCCCCAACCATGGATGCCCACGTGGACGTCGACGATATTTGAGAGCACAGAGACATGCCTGTTCCTAAGCCTCTAGGTAGAGGAAAACCGCCAAAACCCAAGAGGGAGTACAGGGTAAGATTCCGGCTTCATACGGATCCAAAACAAGACCGATGGTTCACCAGAGAGGATCTGGTTGAAACAGCACCTCAGATTGTAGACTATGAGAGAAAGTTAAAGGGTAAGGCTCCTGCTTAAGGGGGATGGAATGCGAGGAATGAGCCCTCGCGGGGCCCTTATCAGACATGCACATGCTCTAGGCTAAGGCCCCCAGCAAGCCCTGTGCCCGCCCTAAGTGAAGGCGCGCCTGATATTCACAAGAGGCCAAAATTTGACATTTTTCCATATGTGGGTACTCAGACAGTTGTAGCACGCGAGTTGGTTACAGGGAAACGTGAGCCTTCAGGCTCTTTCCATAACAAGGGTTGTGCTGCACAGTTGAGCCCACGGCCGGGTGGTTGCGCCCTTGGCACACGCAATGTGAGGCTGACACGTCACTCAGTGGCTGCGAACGAATGAGAAAGCAGCATTGTCGTCACACAACTGCTGCGAACCAAAGAGAGTGAGGCAAACGCTTGTGCCTGGACGTCAGCCTGAATGAGCCTAACTGAATAGGGCCCAGGCCCTTAACTGTGGAAATGGGCCGGGGCGCAGACACTAGGGTCCGACTGGAAGCTACTGGAAGCCTCTCCAGCCAGGCCAAGACTGGGCAGCCCATTGTCAGGCATTTTAGCCTAGTTAGGCAATGCGGACACGCTGCTGCATGAGAGCGCAAGCGTTTGCATGCACTATGCTGCCTGGGGCACGCGCGGGCGCTAAGTGGTGTGGGGCGTTGTAGGGCAGCAGGGCGCCAAGCGGTCATAGCCGAGCTGCAGGGGCGCGGGCAGGTGATGAGGCGAAGGTGGTCTTCAGGGAAGGAGGCGCGGGTGTGGGTGGACAAGGTCTGATGAGGGGATGCGTGAGAACATACGTGGTGTATGCGGGAGGTCGGCGTTGGTGTTGACGTCATGTACATTGGTCTTCGTCGTCGAAGTGAGCCTGTTGCATGAACTTAGATAAACTAGATAGGATGAGTAGAGTAGGCTGGGCGCTGGGCGCCGGACATTAGGAGCGACATTGAATATTGCGTTGGTGTGGCCTAAGGGCTTGGATATTGGCTCACGAGTTCATTGTATCGCTCTTATTTGGATGGAATCTTGGTGCATTTGAGCTATCTGGTTGTTACATGACCATCTGGACTTCTACGTGATTTTGCAGCTTGGTTTTCTGTTTATCACTCTCGCTCATATATATATATATATATATATTGTCACATGAATATGAGAGCGCAAAGCCGAAAAAAACAGAAGAAAACAAGAAAAAAAATCATTCATTTTTTTATCTTCTTTCTTACAATTCCCCCTGTTCAGAACCTCTTGCGTACAAGGCCGCCCACGTGGATGTAGGTTGAGCGCCGGCTGCCCCCACTCCCGTGTGTCATATCGACCCACTTGCACACAGCCAAAGGGCAAAGAGGCAAAGAAAAGAGGAAGGGAACAACCAAATACAACAAAACAGGGGGCAACAAGCAATAACACCAAAAACGGATCCTAGATGACAAGTCCCACATGCAAGCATATATATTGTCACAGAACTATTGACTAAGAGCGTAAGCACGTGAAATAGAAGAAGAAATAAGATGAGCGAAGAGAAAAAGAGACAAACAAACCAGAATGACACAAAATAGTGCCCTCTTATTCTTTGTTTCACGGTATTATTATTTCTTTCAGTGTTTTGCAAAAAAAAATACACTGAATCAAAGGATAAAAATCAAAAACAAAGACACATTGAAATCATTCAGTTTCTCAATCTTCTTAAAGCCTCCTCCACTGTGCCTCTAACGTACAAGGCTCGCCACGTTGATGAAGTTAAGCGCGAGCTGCCCCCATCCCCGTATGCCATAACAGCCCACTTGCACGCTATGGGAAAGAGGCAGAGTCAAGGAAGAGGTGTTAAACACAAGGAAGAGAGGAGCAGAAAAGGAAAACCAATAGGCAAAGGGAGAAAAAATAAAAAATGTTGACACAAACACCTTCTTTATTTTACTGCATTCTTCTTTTTTTTACTACATTCTTCTTTCTTTCACAGTTTTGCAGTTTTGGTGAAGAGTCTACCACGTTCGCTTTTCAGCGCACCTGCACTTCCTTCTTCATTTTTCATCCTCATTTTCACCCTTCGGACTTTTCTTTTGAGGGTGTTAGGGTGCAAGGTACAAATAAAGTAAAATGATACAAACTTATGCACTTCTTTTACTGCATTCTTCACAGTTTTGAAGTTTAAGTGAAGGGTTCCCCACCTTTGCACATTCTTGTACACTCTTTTCAGCGCACCTGCACATTTTTGTTAGGGTGCAAGGTACGTCTAAGTAAGACCCTCACGACAGATAGGACAACTGTCATAAGGATGCGGCCGATGGTAGCAGCCCTCCCACCGATCTACAGGATGAAAACCATTCAGGTAAGCAACTTCGTCACAACAAGAGCTAGGGCGGCTAACATTAACCATACCTCTGAAGCACGCACGACAGAGGGCATGCCGGTTGCAGGCCATGACGATTGTGGGACGTTCACCATCACAGTCAAGTGCACATTCGCTATAGCGCCCGCAGGCACAGACGGGACATACTGCATCTGGATGTAGAGGGTGTTCACAATCCGGATACAGGTGACATCCCTGCTGACAGTGGGCCCGAAAAATTATACGGTTGTAGTGATGTCGACAAAGTCGATGCTTTCCACAACCAAGTGTAACTGTGTCAGTGATCTCACAAAGAAGGAGGTCACAAGGTGTTAGTGCAGCATGTGGGGGAATAAGGATTACAGCAGACACGGTGACAGACATGGAGGTAGGCACGGAGACAGACACAGAAACGGGCATGGAGACAGGTGTGGAGGCAGGCACAGAGACAGGTGCAGAGGCGAGGACGGAAGTACACGTGGTACCCATAGAGTCAGTAATCTGGAAGGAGACAGACACAAAAACAGGCATTGAGACACGTACGGAGGCAGGCATAGAGATAGACGTAGAAGCGGGCATGGAAGTACATGAGGTACCCATAGGGTCAATGACCTGGAACAGTTGCAGGTTAGGGTAATTACACACGAGATCACAGATGGCGGTAATAGTTTGCACCATAGCACCGCCATTCCATAATTCCCAAGAACCAGATGCACGGACAAGAGCGGTGTAGTGGCCATGAGCATGTAGAATATAGGCACAAATGCGCGAACAATGGTCCGGGTCGCCACCCGAAGGGGCTCGCTGCATATCAAGCCGGCGCCTTATCAAAGCAGTCTCCAAAACAGAGATATTGAATCCCCCATGTCGAGTGTAATTACTATCCTGTGGGGGATGCAGAGTCAGGTTATCGCCATATAACTACGTTCCTGAGCATCAAGATCGGAAGCAATGGCCAAGAAATCAGCGTGAGTATATGGTTTCTGGCGATAGGCTTGTAGGCATATGTAAGTAGCAGCGAGGCCACACAGATTTGGTGGAGGCTGGTCAGGCGGATTTTTTACAGAATCTCCTACAGTCCCCTTGCCAAGTTCATCCTCGGATGGCCCCTCGCCATCATCCCTCCTGTTTTGTGTTTGCCGCATTGCAGAAAGGTCTGCAATCGAAGAGCGTTGCATGCGTGGTAAGGATGCTTGGGGCGGCAAAAGACGGGGACGGGACGTTGGGGAGGGCCGTGGTGGGGAGAATGAACGGGTTCTTCTTCATCCAAGAACAGAGGTGGAGGAAAGGGGAGTAAGTTGAGGTTGGGAAGTAGGTCGAAGTCGTCGTCTAGGACGACGAAGTAGGCTTTCTGCAAGGGCAGAACATGATGACGGAGTCTGTGTGGACGAAGTGGTTTGTGGATTAGGAAGAGGGGTAACGGATGGAGACAAAACCAGGGGAGGTAGGAGTGGTGAAGACAGGGGTGGTAGAGTAGTCGGAA